TGGTGGCCAAGGTCACGGTCCATTTGAAGGAGTACTACACTTTCAAATGGGCCGCGGCCCGTGACGATGTCCCGGTGTTCTTCTCCCCCTCGTGGCTGACCCCTCTGGAGAATGCTTTCCTCTGGATGACGGGGTGGAGACCCTCCGTGGTGCTGAAGCTCTTGGAGAATCTGAAGAAGCAGGAGGCTCTCATGCTGAATGAGGAGCAGAACAGGAAGACTCACGATCTGAGGGTGAGGATAAGCATGGAGGAGGAGAGGGTGGAGGCCGAGATGGAGAGGCTCCAGATGGCCTTGGCTGGCCGCAAGATGGTGGAGCTGGCCAAGCTGTCCAGCAATGGTGATGGTGATGCTGCTGCCGTGGACATGGCGCTGAAGGGGGTCCTCGCGGGGCTGGAGAGGGTCATGAAGGCTGCTGATTGCGTGAGGCTCAAGACACTCAAGGGGATCTTGGATGTGCTCACTCCCATGCAGTGTGTCGACTTTCTGGCGGCAAATATTGCCATGCAGCTTCGCCTCAGGGAATGGGGCATGAAGGACATGAATGTCAACCAGGACAACAACTGAAACAATCCTACTACCTACTTAAATAAATGTACAGCTTTTAGGCTGAGTTAAATAATCAAGTTGTCCAGTTTATGCGCTGCGGTACTAGTAGTAAGTACTACTCTAGTGCTCTAGCAGTTTGTTGTTTGTCAGTTTAATTTTCTTTATCGCAGTGTAAGAAAAGGAAAGAAATAGTACATGAATGTATGCATGCTATCATTTCTCTCCTGTAAAATAATAAAAGTTGTTGTTTCTTTGGTTATTCTTGTGTTTTTATAATTAACGATCACAGTACATTGTCACATAAAAGATTAGTGATATGCATACACATTAGGGTGTGTTGATGTACTGTTGCATTATCCAGTCTCCATAGACGCCACAGAAGAATATAAGGGAGGGTGTAACTGAGTAAGTACGAGACATTTTTTTATTTAATTATTAATTATTTATTATATTTGTTTGTGAAATATTGTGGATGGAAGAGCTAAAAAAAAACAGTAATGTGTGGAGCGGTTGTACAAGGTGGTGCCGGTGCGTGAAAGAGGGACCACGCCAACGCAAACATGAACAGTCAGAAATATAACAGAACAGAAGCAGGTGTTCTTCAGTTTCCACACTAAAAAATAAAAATAAGCTCCTGTCTTGCTTCTGCTTGGATTCACGAGAAAGTGACGTTTAAAGGAGTTTCCCCAAAAATATGACGTTGCCATGTGATGTCATTAACGTTTTGGTTACATAAACAGAAACAAGAAGAGAGTATTTTTATATTTTTTATTGGAAAAAAAAACTAAGCTTAAATCAGTTAAATGTAATTTTGAACTTTTATTGGTTATTTGATTTTAATTGAATGAATAAGTTTACTTAATTTATCTTTAATTTCTTCAAATTTTGTTTACCTAAAACTTATAATAACGTTAAAAATAAGAGGGAAAAAAATATGTTGATATATTTAGTAGAGCTGAATTTTGAGAGGAAATACTAATGAAATTGAGGAGAAATATTACTTCTTATACCCAGAGTCTTAACGAAAAATATTTATAAAAAAAATTAAGTTCTCGTTAGATGCACTCATGGGTTCAAAAATGGTGGGTATGTATATTTTAGGACATCATGATTGATTAAAACATTTGTTTAATTGATTATGATAGTCAATTTTTAACATGCTTAGATATATATAGAATGAGAGATTTGTAATGTGTATTCAATATGATATTCAATTGTCATTTATTGTATTTGAATGTGACTAATCTATATTTTTTTTTTGTTCGTCCCTGGAGTATCCACCGCTGATAGCAGCGGCTGCATACACAAGGTAGGATTCGAATCCCTGACCTTGCTTAAGCGTGGATCAACCCCTACCGCTGAACCACACGCTTGGGGTTAACTAATCTATATTTGATGATGCATGTTGGTTGTATTCAAATATAGTAATTTTCATCTAATTACAAAAATAAATAAATTATTACAAGTTGGTATATTTGAATGATGTTTGAATTTAATCAACTACAAAAAAATTTAATCACAATAGATATTATATAGTTAATTTTGAAAGTATTAACATAATAACTTTTCTTTAATTATAATTTTTTTATCTCCATCCATTCAAATTAAACAATTCTATAATATTAATTTTCTTTTATTTCTTACATAATTCTCTTAAATCAAACAATCTCTTATTCACTTTATTTTTTTTAACCTATTTTTACTCATTTATTTTTTTCCATCATATTTCTCACATACTTCTCTCCTCACAATTAAATATAGTGTAAGAGAAAAATTATCAAAATATTTATAATTACATCATTAATTAGTCCACATCAGCAACATTCATTAAAATTTTAATAGAACATTAATAAATGGATCAAAATCACATAATTATAATACTTGACAGATTTCAATCGTATAATTAAAAATTGAAAGATCAAAATCACACAATTATAATACTTAGAAGACCAAAATTATAATTCAACTCAAAAGTAACTAAATAAACTCATAAATAAATTATTCTACTTAATTTTGTTTCTATTTATTAACAAAAAATATTTCACACAAGTTATATTTTTTTTGTTCTTATATAGATAAAAGAAGCCAACCTTTTCCTTTCTTCTTAGATATGAGAATAGGACAAAATCGACTATGAATATACATATAAGACATGTTTTTATAAAATTAAAGTTTGAGTCTAATTTATTATCTATTGTAGATTTTTAATAGGCTTGACCTGACCTTTTTGAAAGTTTGACCCAACCTATTAACATATTTAAAAGTCTATTTTACATTAATAATATTTAATAGACCAATAAATATAATTTAAAATTTTAAATAAGTCAACAAATTTATTTTTAAACATGTGTACAAGTCCTTTTTTTTTTTTTTTTTTTTTTTTTTTTTTTTTTTTTTTTAATTTTCATGATAAAAAAGAGTTTAGAGTTTATGATTTACTCTATTATTAAAAAAATAATAATATTCATGTACAATAATGCATACTCGTGTACATTAATATTAATATACACTCACACACAACTTATAATGAAAGAAGATAATTTTATAATTTTTTTTCTTCTAAATATTACTTATATCCCATTTGAATATTATAAATAATTATCAATGAAAACTAACAAAAAAAAAGTAGGTAAAGATGTAAAGATGTGACCGTTAAAGTTTCTATTTTAGTATAGATAAATAAAACATTTAAGTGAAATAAAAATGTGAAAAATATTAATAATTAATTTTTTTAATTACAAAATTATTTACTTAATTATATTATTAATATTGTGATATGTACCCTCGTCACTATAAATAGACTGAATAGCTAAGTTGATCTCCCACCATGCCACGAGCCACCATAACTTATTCACACATATTTTATTCTATTATTTGTTTAATTGATTTTAGCAAATGAGTTAAAAAAAAATATTAACCGTTTTTTTTCCCTTTCAAGAACGACTAGATAAATTTGTGCTTTAGGAAGATAAAGAGCAGGTCAAAGTAGCTTAAATCACAAGGGAAGTACTAAATATTGGATAATATCTATAAAATGCCAAATCATGCATATCAAAGAAGGGTTTAAAATAAAAGTTTTTCTTGAGGAAATTTTGTTAGTTTAAATATTTTTTAGTTTACGTAAAATAAGAATTTTTTTAGTTCTTTTAATTATTTTTTTATTTGTGATTTTATTGTTTTATTTTTTATCATTGTTGTCAAAATTGACTGTTAAATTATTAAAATTAAAATAAAAAATAAAAAAAATTTATAGGGACCAAAATAAACAAAAAGATCAAAACAAAAATCACAAAATTGAGAGAACTAAAATAAAAAAGAATTAAAACAAAATTAGTTTTTTTATAAGCACTAAATATTTATTTGAGTTAAATTTATAAAATTTAAACATTTAAATACAACAAATACACTAATACATAAAAAAGAAAATTATACAAAATGTATTGGGGGTTATTTTATGGTATTTGCCTGAGGGGGTATTTTATAAGGTTATTATACAAACATACTCCACAATGATGAGATATTGTTCGCTTTGGGCCTTAGCCCTCACAGTTTTGCTTTTGGTCATCACCCAAAAGGTTTCTTGAACATTGAAGTATGTTTTGTGTTATATAAGTTATTATTTCTTGTCTTATTTTATCAATGTGAGACTTGTTTGTATCCCAACAAAATACATCTATAACATTGTTAGCTATGATAGTATTATACTATTCCTAGTTGTCTTATGTTATTAAGTTAAGTTAGTTAGTGTTGAGGGACTTGGAGGTCTAAGGATCTCTTTAGATCTTCAATGGTATTCAGATGAGGGTTCTCTAGGCAGAAACCCAGATTGATCCCAAAGAAAAAAGGTATATAAGATTTTTATTTTAAATAGAACCTCATAAACTCTTTTTCTCAGCTTTCTAGAAAGAGGGTCTTTGGTCCGTGAACTCTCTTTTTCTCTCAATATTCTTCTCTTCTTTTTCAAATCTTTTTCTAAGTTGTGTTGTTGTGATTTAGGAGGTGAAAATCTTGAATCAAGTCGTTGATTTCGTGCCAAGTCTCATTCTCTTCTTCTTCTACCTTGGAACCGAGTTGCATGATGTAAGGAAAGCTAAATTTTTGCTTTTGTGGAGTTGTTGAAGGTTGTGTTGGTTGTATGTTGCATAAATTCATTTCAATTCGCGGCTAAAGGTGGATTAAATCGGAGAATGTTGTCTGTTGAAAGTTGGGGTTTGGGTTGTCTTGAAGAATGAGATGAATTAAGATGACTTTTAGTTTCATGCTGAGTTTGTGTACATTTTTTAGTTGGTTGTGACATATATGTTTGTTGTTTTAAGTTGCATGAGTTGGAAACTAATTGGATTTTAGGTTATGGCTCAAAATCGGGTTTTGCATATGCAAAACTCTGATACCATGTTGGGCATGTCTTCAAGGCATCGGGCGTTGTTCTAACTTGAGACTTTTTGTCTCGATCACACCAAGCATAGGATTGGTGGCGCCGAGCGTGAGAAGAGAGACTCAGGTTGGAACAACGTCGGGTGTGATTGAACGACACTAGACATGCCTGAGAATTTTTGACTTAATGTTGTTGGGTCTAAAGTTGTGTGACACCCAGTGTGGCCAAGCCAAACCTTTATGTCTGGATTTTGCCAAGCACCCATGTGGTGACACCGGATGAAAATCAGGCAGAGACTCTCTACCTGAGATGGGGCTGGGCATGATGTTTTACCATGCCAAGCGTGAGGTTTCAAGGCCTCTGCCTTAACCATGTCAGGTGCGAGTTATGTAGCATTGGACACGAGCAAGGCAGAAAACTCCCTATTTTGATGTTGTCGGTGCAAGATGACTAGCACTAAGTGTTAGTTGCTGACGAAAAACATGATGATATGGTTAATGAAGAGTTGATTCCTTGTTGATTTAAGTTGTTACATGAACATGTGATAAATAAATCGTAATGATGAAGTATTATGTGATGATTTTGTTGTGTGTTGATAAATGAGAAGTAGATATGAGTTGTAAGTTGTGTGTTGATAGAATTATATGTTGTCTGTGTAGTTGCATTGAATGTGTACCATGTGTTGCTGAGATGATGGTTATTATGGAGTTGAATATGAGTTTTGAGTTGTAAAGTTGTATGTTTATTTTGTTGTTGTGTTGAATTTATAAAGAGCTATTATGTTGTTGAATTGTGTTGACCACTTAGAACTATAAGAGAGGTTTGCAAAAGTCGCATATCCCATTGTGTGGATATTGTGTTGTGGTGCTCCTAGAGCCTAATTTGTTGAAAAACCTTCTTGAAAAGTTGATCCTTAAAGTAGATGTTGTGTTGTTTGTCCAATAGGACTTTGTTGGTACCGTGTGGGCAGGATCAAGGCGCACATTTATGAAGCGACCATAGTATAGGAGTCAAGTTGAACTATACTGATTACAAATGACCAACTGAGTAAAACACAAAGTTGGAAACTTAGTTCCTAACCGAGTATCAGAAGTTTGTAGTATTTGGAGGGTAGCCAGTGGGCTATTCCCATAAAAGGCTTGGTTAAGCTAGCTAATGTCATGGTAGGCTCGTACCCAACTATTTCACCCTGATAGTAGTACTATACTTCCTTGTTTAAGTGACGATATTTGAAAATTTGAGTTGTTGTGTTGTTGATTTATATCCAATTTGCTGTTGATCTAACAACCCCAAAAAGATCACCATGTGTTGTTGGTTTGATAAGATCAAGTCACTTAAATTACTCATCTTGTGTTGTAGATTTCTCATAGTTGAAATACATGATGACGCATATATAATTGTTGTGCTCAGCATATGATGTGTTGAGTTGATTGTGATGTTTATATGATGTGTTGGACTATGATGAAATGTGTTGCTATGTCGAGTTAAAGTTTTTGTTGTGATATTTTATGTTGTATATGATGATGCCATGTTGTGTTGCAAAAGATGTTTTTGATGAGGTGATTTCCCTGTGATGTATTTATGTTATTTCTTTTTTACACTATCTTACCCTTGTGTGTTTCCATATGATATGGACTATGATAATTATACGTGATATGGGGAGTGAGGCAAATTAAAGATAAGGTTAGAGAGTTGCTGTAGAGGCCACCGAGTGACATAGGAGCTAGAGGACATTTTGTTGACCACCCATGATAGTAGATTGGTATAAACAGTTGTAATTGCTTGACCGACGTATAACTTACATTTACCTAGTTGTATTTATATTGCACCTATTTATCTAGTTGATTTCTTTTATATACTCACAGTATAATACATGTTATAGTATTTGTATGTTTATAGTCTTAAGTGGGATATTTTTCGCTGCTAATAGTTGTGCTATGTAGTGTAGGAACCAAGCCGGAACGTTACAACATCGATAAATAAGACAAATAAATTTATAAAAGTTAGATGCATAACTTCATAAAAATAATATAATTACACAATGATTCTTACAAATGTAAACAAAATAGATATATAAATAAGTAGAAAAAACTAAACATAAAATAGGTAGAGATAACAAACTAATCGGTAACATGAGTATGAAATAATAAAAAAAAATCAAATGAAGAATGAACAAAATTATATTATAACATCATTTTTACACCACATCGATATTTTTATAGATTACATTAACTAAAAAAAACCTCTTAATTCTAATTAAAGTTTAAATTTTATAAATTTAGTTTAAATAAAAGTTTAGTCCCTTTAAAATAAGATTATTTAAATTTTAATTCTCTTAATTCTAATTACTTTTGTTTTAATTATCTTGATTTTAGTTATTTTTGCTTCAATTTTTCTAAAATTTTAGTTGCTTTTTCTATTTTAGTCGTTTTCTATTTTGGCCCCTATACTTTTTTCACTTTTCTATTTTAGTCTATGTGATTTTTGACTTTTTTTTTGTTAGATTTAGTTAAAATACTTTTTAAACAAATTTTATGAGGCAATTTTTTTTTAAAAGAGACTAAAATAAAAAACCCTATTTTATGAGAAATAAAAAATTACTTAACTGAATTTTATTATATTAAAAAAATATTTATTATGTAAAAAAATTAAATTTATAACTAATTACACATCCAATACGTAAGATAAAAAGTATTATGTTAATAATTAAAAATCGAGTCCATAATATTATTTAAGCAAACTCTAATTTTTTTTTAATTATCATTCATTATTTACTATTTTTATCTCTCTTTCTTTTAGGATTTTTATCAGCCACTTTAACTTTTTTACGTTTTTTTTAATGTTTGTCTTACACATTCTCTATCACTTTTCCTTATTCATCACATAGATATCCTATATTATTTTTATATTTTTTATTTTATCTCCCTATGGTGTATTATTTATGGGGTGTAAAAAATCATTTTCCCTTTCTCAATAAACATGAACCTTAATATATAATTCAACAAACCTATATAAAGTAATATTTTCATTGGGGATCGATTTAGAATTTTCACACCCAAATTATCTTCATCAACAAATGTACAATCTACTACATCCCTTTTACAAAGTTGCATGACATATAACACTCCGTTTTTTTTTTTATATATAATATTTTTTATTATAAAATATAATATAGATAACTAACTAATAATTTTGATAATTTATAATATAGATAATTAACTAATAATTTTGATATTTTTATATTAATAAGAGATTATTAATATTTATTTTAATTATTTGATATACTTTTAGATTATAATGTAAGATGTTTTAATTAAAAGTTTTATTTAATTAATTAAGAGGGAAGGGAATTAGTCAGTAAGATTAAGTATTTTAATTGAAAAAGAATTAAGGGAAGGTTAAAATTTTAAAAAGGAGTTTTAATCAATTTTACGCTCCATTTTATTTTTAGGTATGGGCTTACGCTTCAGAGCTCAGAGAACCTGGAGGAGAGTAAAAACACTTCGGAGTCTCACATCCGTCATCTATTGCTTATCTAGATAAGGGAAAAGCAAGAAACCTCGCTCAAGATGTAAGATTATATGTTGGGTAGTGCGGTTGACATTATGCTATTTTGCTTATATTTCTTCTTGTACATAACTAATGACATGAATTGTTTGATTATATGATTAATTACATGTTATGGTTGATAATTGCATAATTTGAGACCCTTATGGCTTTCCATAGGAAACCATAAGGAAATTTGTTGTGATAGTTGGTTGAAGATATTGGTTTATATGTGTAAATTGAGTAATGTGGTATATTAATGATATGCTATAAAACACGTTTATCGATTAAATTTTGTGTTTTGGTGAATTGGCTTATGATCATAATTTTGCATTTTTTTGCTATGTGTGTTATTTTTTATACAACGTCGAGCGCCACTTGAGGTGCGTTGAGTGTCGTTGAGGTTAAGAGCAAAGTTTTCTCTCATGGTCTCTCACATTAGACGTGGGATGACCCTCGTTGGATGCAAAAGCTCTAGGGGATTCCCTGTAACGCTTCTGTCGAGTGTGAGTTGATTCTTGCTAGCCATGGATGCTGTAGGGACTCTTTGTGGTGTTTTCGTCGAGCATGAGCTCAATCACATCAAGTGTGGTTTAGACAGAGACCAATGTGGTCCTCTAGAAGTATCAAATGTCAATGTGGTCCTCTAGAGGTATCATGTCAGGTGCGGAATGTGTGTCGTCGAGCATCATTTTGTCTATGAGTTCTATTTGATGTTCTTTGGATTGCATGATATTGTTCTTGTGTTATCAAATTGAAATGTACACGAACCTATATATGTGTGCATACGAGGGATTTATGAAGAATATGATAAAATGAGATTTGTTATATGTGAATTAGTGAAATCATATGAAGTGTTATGCATAGAATTTGTTTGACATGCATCATATACTTGAGTGTCTTTTTAAGGGTACGATATGAAATACACCATCAGGAAAGATCCCCTCATGTAAAAGCTTGGCGACCAATCCTCGAGGATAACTTGATTTGGAAGTCCCACTTGCCCTCTATGGTGTTTTCGTTGGGCGTTAGCTCGATCACACCGAGCATGGTTCAGATAGAGACCAATGTGGTCCCTTGGAGGTATCAAAGACCAGTGTGGTCCTTTGGAGGTATCATGTCGGGCGTAGGATGTGTGTTGTCGAACGTCATTCCATCTATGAGTTTTGTTTGATGTCTCTAGATTGCATGATATTGTTTTGATGTTATCAAATTAAAATGTACATGAACCTATATACGTGTGTATACGAGTGATTGATGAAGAATATGATATAATGAGATTTGTTATATGTGAATTAATGAAATCATATGAAGTGTTATGCATAAAATTTGTTTGACATGCATCGTATACATGAAAGTGTTTTTTTAAAGGTACAATACGAAATACACTGCCAAGAAAGACCCCTTTGTGTAAAAGTTTGGGGGACCAACAATCCTAGGGGATAATTCGGTTTGAAAGTCCCACTTGCCTTTTGTATGCATGTGATGTATCTTACACAGTTTAGCTATCCCAAGCAGACCCTAGTAGTATGTCTTCCTACTGTAAATGTGCATAGGGTGTAACTTGACATGTACTCCTAGGTTACTCTACGTGTATCGCTAGCGACAATGCACGTGTGTTGTTTTTACTAACGTTACATGCATGATAATATGTAATCCGTGTCCATTACATAATGCATTATAATGTATATGTTATTATTTATCATGTTATGACAGAACAAGTGTGATGATAATGTTTATCTGTGTATGTTATGTCTTGTTTGTGTTTAATTATTTAGTTTGTATTCCTACATCGTGAGATAGAGTGAGATTTTTTTGATTCCCTTTTCCTTTGTATTGTTTTCCTTTGATATTATGCAAGTGATCATCATCATGATACTAAAGATGTTAATGATGAGGCTTAGACTTCGTGTTAAATTACTTTGATAAGACATGTAACATCAAAACTTAATCAAGACTAGATAGGATTTAGTTCATGTTATTGAGTTTGAGAACTTGGTTTTAACTCCTTTGTAATTTTATTAATTCCGCTAAGTTTAGTTTATGTTAACAATGTGATATTTTCTACTTGTATGAATTTTGAGTTCATTTATTATATTAAGGTTATTCAGTTTCATACTATTTATATATTATGACATGCAAGATAGAGGGCATCACATAACACACTTTCATCATGATATGAATAACTACTATATTAATGATGATGACTTTACAAAAGTACAAGAACAATGAAGGATGTAGAGAACTTTGAGTAGCAAATATCATAACTTTCCACTCTAGCATATTGATAAAGGTTAGAGAAAGGCTTAAAACACAGAGAAAAGAGTCAAATGAAACTTAAGTTGCCTCTACTGACAAGATCTCCAGTTCAGCCCACCAAAGTGGAGAAAGTCTTGGGACTGCTTGCTCAGGTGAAATGCCAAGCGTTTCTCTCAATTTAGAAGTCACGTCCCTCATTTCTGGTCTTAACTTAGGATCAGGTTGGATACAATCTTGGATTACCTCACAAATGGCATCAAGTTCATTCTCCTTGAAAGACTCCAAGGTGGGATCAATCATGTAGTTGATGCTTCTCTTGTCACTTAAGTACTCAGCAACCTAAAATATTTAAGAGAAATTATTTAATAAATATAAATATTTGAATATGATATGACTACAAAGTTTCACTTAAAACTACAAGGAGGCAAATTAATTTTCAAGAAGACATGTTTCAAATTTAATCAACTCACAAGGTTGCCTTGTTCTTCAGAGTAAGGCAATTTCCCAGAGATAATTTCAAGCAATAACATTCCAAAGTCATTGATAGTGTTTTTAAGTTCGTCCTGGAATGACACCTCAGATTTCTTTGACTCACTTTTCAGCTTAACTGGTGCCTCAATATTTTTAAAAGTAACTTCTGCAACCTAAAAGAACAATGGAATAGCGAGTTATGTAATTTGGTGGCTAACATATAATGAAAGCAAATAACAGAATAAAGGATAAATTTTGTTGCACCTTAGCGGCAAAATCATCTGTTAAAAATATCATACTTGAAGTAAGATTGGCTAGAGCGACAGGTGGATTTAGATCATGGTGCATATATTGAAGACAATATGCAATGCCCATGATAATCCTTACCCTTTCACTCCAATTAAGACGTTCCATTTCCTTAACTGAAAATAATAAGAAACAAAATGTATATGACCTTTAGAGGCAAGAACATAAATGAATTCAATTTGATTTCAACAAGACAACAACTAAAACAAGAGAAATACCATGCAAATGCTCAAATACATTTCCGTTTGGAGCATACTCATACACCAACATTCGTGTGAATGGTTCTTCTTCCTCACAGTACCCAATAAGATTAATAAAGTTTTTATGGTTTATGCGGGACAAAGTATCAATCTGAAGCACACAAGAAATGAAATTAGCTAAAGAAAGAGTTTGAGAATTGAATCATTCTCAAAGTTGAATTGGAATTGTCGCAATCCATTTATTATTACGGACTTAAGAAGGAGAAAACCTTTTTGCGATAATTCATCTCCATGTCCTTTGACCAATCTTGGGAAGAAGTAATTAGCGTAGAAACAACAGCAATCTCTACTCCACTAGACAATGTTCCTTTGTAGATGTTGCAACCTTCGAAACCACTAATAACAATATTGCTAAAATCCTCACAAGCTGTCTCTAATTCTACTCGATTCAACTTAGGAGCCCCTACATTTCAAGAGTAAATGTTGCAATGTTGTCAACATAAGAAACTAACAATGATCTATTTTATTGAGACATTGGAAATGTAAAGTCGTTATACTTTAACCTTGACATCTACTAAAATCACCACATATGCCTCACTTTTTTAAGTCTTGCATTGAACTAAAACTAAAAAAAAAAACCTATACTATATTTATGAGTAGACATTGCATATGAAACAATACATTTGGCCATGCAAAAAACAAAAAGGTCTAAAACTGCTGTTGTTTTAAATATGAAGCATATGCTTGAATAAATTGAACGAGCACTTATATATATATGTACCATAGCACACCCATTTTCAAAATTTTTGAACAAAAACTTAAACCATTTTCTATGCAAAAGAAATAAGACAATAGTGAGTTCCACAATGTTATATAAAATTTACAATTTAGTGTTAATAATTTTAATTTGTATTCACTTATTCGAAAAATTAAAAAAAAAAAAAAACTATTACCTGTTATAAATGCTTTTTGCAATTGTCCACTTATTCCTGTCTTCCAAGGGGTTATTACTTTTACAGCTGGTTTTCTCCAAATGTATAATAGAATTATTAAAATAATGATCAGCACAACAACAATAATAATTATATACTTCCACAACGTTCCAGAAGAATCATTAGTTGTGTGTTGTTGACTTGTTTGATCGTATGGAGAATCAGAAGGTGAATGCAAGGATTCAGGTGATTGGTTTTGTTTCTTATTATCATCTTGAACAGCTGGGAAAGATCCGCTACTGAGGGTAATTGGAACAGAACTAAGCTCTATAGTTGATTCGCCACTAAAAGGAGCAGCTACAAGGTTACTGCCACTGGATTGAAGTAACCTACGACGTGCATAACTGACAAATTCTGGAACATTTTCGGCAATCTCTGGCACATTAGAACCTACATTGTACAATACATGTTTTGAATGTCAATAAGACATATTTTGAATTACTTAACAAGTCATAGTTTAGGAAGTTTATCCACTCACTAGGCAAAAGGTCACAATAATCTTTTTCATGGCCATGAAGGGCAGGCTTTCTTAACTTAAGTCTGCAAAGAAAAGCATAATATTTAGTGAGTTGAAGATGATGAAAGAGCAAAATTTATGTGCATGTTAAGGTTAATGTGGGCCAAAATTTATCTATATACAATGGCAACGCAATGGCATTGAGGCATTTCATAAGCGCTACTTTAGTTAGAATAATCAATGAATCTGATTTGTTCCATTGTTTGAAGTTGCCCTGCCACACACTGCACATAAAAGCACATAAGTAAAAAATTAATAACCCTCTACACATGCTAACAATAAAAATGGCAAGAATTGAGACAATCGTTTTATTCAATAAAAAAAGAGAGTCACATGTTTTACAATGACTTCCCTTTACATTATTGATACAAATGGAAGCAAACCATGCAGGGGAACTACTTAGGTCAGTTGGTTAGGGAGAAATAATTGAAAAGATTCTTACCAATGTCCAACTTTCCTATTAATACAGGCAAATAAATATTTCAGAGGTGATGAACAATTTTCAACAAGTAGCGATTTTGAAGGAAATTTGAACTTTCCTCCATCTTGAGTATCACTACCTCCAATTTTACTGTTACAAAGCAACCTAAGGTAAAATAAAATTTCATTGAATATTAGAAACCTAATAAACATACAAAAAAAATATAGAGTTAACTTACAAGTGTTTCAGTAATGGCATCTTGCCAATCTCCACTGGGATGCTTCCTAACAAGTTATTTTCCCTTAAATCCAATAACTCTAGTTTGGATAAATCTCCAAGTTCTTTGGGAATGACGCCGGAAAAGTTATTCTTGCATAACACGCTATTTTAAATAAACAAAAGCAAGCTTACTCAAATCAGAAAAATAGTAAAATATTGAGTTAGATATATTTTATCAGGTAATTAATATCATTTTGTTGTGATATCAGGTAAGGAACTAAACTAATCAAACAAAAAGACTCCATAATAACTTGTCCTACAAAGCTAAGTGACCCTAAGGGACTTCATTTGTTTTCAGATTACAAATCACTATCACACTGACATTATAAACTAATTACGAATATCAAAATAATTGTCTTTTAATGGAGTCGAAAACTAAAAAATGTAGCTACCTATATCTTAACTTTTTCGGAGGAGAGGAAATGTTATATGTAGACTTAGAAGGAAAAAAAAACATCACAAGAAAGATTGCAGAGAAAAATAATATTAAATCTTTCTAAAGTGTAGCAAAATAAAACATTTGCATGATTATTGTAGTTTAAATGAAGGTGATAGGAAGGACATCACACAATAAAAGAAGAATCAGAATGTGTCAGAACAGTACATAATCAAACTTTGAAGTAGAACTACAAGTATGTTTCGTGCTCATCGTGTTTATTATTTGAACTTCATAAACAAACATGTATATGTTAGATACACAAATAGTCCCCAAATTATTTCATTCTTATTATTAGATGATAACCAAAATCAAAGCATTTGTTATGGACTTAGAGAGATGATTGGGAATTCAAGAATGAGTGCATTTTGAGATTCCCTTCCCCATAAAGAACCAAAAGTAATAAGATTTGTTTTGATATCGAAGAAAAAAAAGAGAAAAATAATCAGAAGTTATGAAAAAAAATACATTAAATGCTATGAAGATTTCTTACAGAGAATTTAGGTGACTAAGTTTCCCAAGCTCAGGAGCCAATGTCCCTTCCAAAGATAGTTCTTTTAACTCCCTATAAGAAGAAGGTGTGAAATTCAACATTAAATTTTGTAGAACATTCACTGTAATAACAACTCCACTTATTTTAAACATCAAGCAATAAAAAGTTATTTTGCTAAACGAAACTTTAAAAACAGTACTACATCATTAGAATACCTAAAAAAGAAAGGAATAACTAAAGGAACTTACAGCTTTTTCACTTTACCATCTAGACAATGAACACCGAACCACTCGCAAGGGTCACAATCATTGGGATTCCAATTTGCTAAAGCATTATACGGATCATAAGTTATCCTCGCTCGAAATTCTAACAAATTCAGTCCTAAATTTTTTATTTTGGATGAAGCCAACAAAATAAAATCAATATATGCGGAAACGCATGCTTCAATGTGAATGAAAAGTTAAAAGAGCATTCCAAGAAAATCACCTTCATCATTAAGGGACCAACACTCTTGAATTCCCGACACAGAGATCAAGCAAATATAAATTCTTAGACAAAATCCAAATGTTTTCCATCTCATTTCCATTTCTTTGTGAAGCCAATGCCAAAATTTTATTGAGGCAGTATCTATAATCCTTGATAGCCAGGATGTTATACGATATAATATTCAAAATTACCAGGTTTTTGCTATTGAGAGAAACCCTTCATTCTATTGGGATGAAGCAAATGAAACTCACTAACAAGACACAACTTACATTATAATAGTAAACATGAAAATTGAAGGTTTGAGTCCAAAGATCAAATTAGGATCCCTCATTTCTTTCGTATTGTTATATCTTTGTTACAAGTTTCTGCTCAACAAAGACATAACCAACTCAACCTCAATATTTCGTCTCAATTATCCTCAGCAATTGGTGGAGCTGAAAGAAATTTCACCCATTAAAATAAATAACAAAATGAATGGATTTCAATAAGATTGATATATTTAAGAACCAACCAACTTCATAACAATAGAAAAAGGAATAACACCACCAAGCAAGCTTTTAGGTGTCAACATGAACAATAAAATAAAGCAAAAAAAGAAAGGGTGTATGGGGAGGGAAACATTAATAAAGAGTGAATTACCATGCAAAAAAGACAAACGGGGTGCAAGAAAAGAACTTTCCTTCTTGCAGTAATTTGCTTGTGCATTGGAAGGAGATGCAATGCTGGTTGAGAGGAGGTAATAGATAGGTGCAGATTGAGACAATGGTAAAAAGGCAGCAAAAGTTCAAAACAAATAATATTCAAATCCTTATTTTGTTTTTCTCTTATTTTGATGGTTGTTCATCTATTGCTGCCTTTTTCAGGATGATCTCAGAGGACCTTCTCTTCGACCATCTTTGTCATGAGACTCTTTCTTCCTTTTTCTCTCTCTCTATCTCTTTTTCTTTCTCTCTTTCTTTCTCTCTCTCTCTCTGCTTCTCTTTTCCGATGTTAGATTTTTTTTCTCTGTCTTGTTTCTCAGTTTCTCTCTCTCTTTTCCCTTGCCTCTCTCTCATTACCCTTTCCAACAACTTTCCACCCAATTTTTTTTTTGTTCTTGCCTTTTTTTTTATCATTATTATTATTATTATTATTATTATTATTATTATTATTATTATTATTATTATTATTATTATTATCTCTCGGAGGAGTTGCAGATCCAGTTGGCTCCTACTTCCGACAAAGTAGGACACGCTTTTATTCTATTACGAGGTGAGTTTGCCATGGTTTGTGGCTTCCAAAAGCCATTGCTTATTAATCAAAATAAAATTACTTCTAACAATTTTTTGTTTAACGGTTTAAGTAAATCTGCGTATGTGATTGCACAGCCGACTTTGTTTCGCGTCCAAAGTAACACTTTCTGGTACGGTAGTACTTGAGATGATGTAATGTTTATCTAAATAATCACAACGAAAGATCATTTATTAATAAATAAAATGTTAAATATGAAAGAATGTTTTTTCTATACTCCACACGACCAAGAATCGAAAGTCTAAAAAATAATAAAAATAACGTTTTAACATTTGAAAAATATCTTAAAATAAATTATATTATCACTTTTCAATGTTATGTTAATTATCTTTTTTATAATTTATTCTTATTAGAGATCTTACATCGTTTAAAAATAAAAATATAATAATATATAAGTGAAGAATAATTTTTATGTTACAAGTCAAATGATTCCCTTCAATTTAATTTTAACCGTTTAGGTATGTAACTCCTTGTTTTGTTACATTTTTTTACTACAAAGATATATAATATATATATATATATATATAAATTAGTTAAATTTTTAATTTTTTATAAGTATTAAAAATACGAATTAATTATTTCAATAATTAAATAATTGAAATTATAAAAATGATTAAGTAACATACTTAAAATTATATGTTTATTTAAAAATGTAATTCTTAAATCTTTTATTTATAGGTTTTTTCTTATTTAATATTATATATATTATTTATATTATAATATAATTATTAATTTATAATTTATTTATTTAAAATTTAAATAAAAATGGGATGGATCCTCATGGATTTACTTGATATCTACACCTAATAGGGACGAGGGTGGTTTAAAAAATAGAAACCTACTTCTTTAAAATTCAAACCCACCCCGTCTTTTATGGTAGAAGGGACGAGAAAAGCAAAATCTAATCCGTTATCATTCCTAAAGTTGAATTAGACTCTTAACTCACATTCTTAAGACGATATTATAACATCAAAATTTATATTCTAATGATTATTGATTGTTGTTGTGCCTATTAGACCATCCATAGATATCTAGTCTTTGACATGAGAGGGTTGTATTGGAGATCTCACATTATTTAGAAATAAGTTCACAATAGTGTATATAAGTCGGGAACAATCATTACCTAAGTTAGGCTTTTAATCCACATTCTTAAGAGTTCATTCATAAATTATTCAACTATCATAATTAAAAGTATTTATTGAGAGATAAGCTATTTTAGTAAAGAATTAGTTTCATAAAGTGATACATTTATTTTTGTCCTTAATCTATGTGTAGAAACTTTAAGCTTCAGTCATCATGAGAGGTAGGAGTGTTTATGGGCCGAATTGGTTCGAGTTTGAGTAAAAATCCTATCCGAATCAATTAAATTTAATTGATTTGGATTAAATAATTTTTTTATTTAACTCAAACTGAACCAATTTAATGTTAATTTGGTTGGTTTGACTTGAGTTATCGAATATCCAATGATTTTTAAAAAAAAAATTAAAGAAATAATTTTTTTCCCAAATTAAATAAATTTTTTAACATTAACTAAATTGATATATTGTAAAAAACTAACTAAATTAATAGATTTACAATATAGTTTCTCTTGGTTTATTTTCTTAATCTACTTAAGGATTTCAAATGCACTATATTGTGTGAAAATAACATTTAATATATTGCAATATAGTTCCTCTTGATTTCTTTAAATATTTGGAAAATAAATGAAAAATATCTATATGTTGTAACATAAAAACATCTTCAAAATAATCAAAATGGTGATACATATTAATTGTTAACTAAATAAAAAAATAATGACATATAAATTAATTGATTTCATTTAGGTTGGTTCAGATTTTAAATGTATAAATATGATACTCGAACCAATCAACATTGAGTTTAATTGGTTTGATTTGTATTGGATCCAAACACAAAAATAATGAACTAATTTAATTAGTTTGGTTCGAATTTTCAATTTTGTCATATTGATTTGATCCGATTTAACACCCATAATTGAAGGAAGGAGTAGCATTTTTATTTTCCTCTAAAAATATTAAGCCAATAAAGTTTAACTGATTTTATAAAAAATATTATTAGTAAATTATATTTAAATTTTTAACAAAAATATTCTTAATCTCATTGTAAACATATGTAGGTAAACATATAATGGCAAACTTTCATATGTTATTTCTGTGGAGAAAAGATAGACACTAGAATGAGAGGTTGAATAGTGTATATTAAAAACTCACATATTTACAAGTCAATGAAGTAGTATCTGCGATAGACAAAGTGTTAGCAAAAGTAATCAATGAACATAAAAAGTTTTTATACTAGTTCACTTCAATTACTAAGGCTATGTCTAATTCTCAATCTGACCAGATTGAGTTCTACTAACCTTTCAACAAAGTTACAAGTATTTTTTCACCAAGTCACTTCTGGGTTTTAACTCAACACAAGTGTTCTTTGACTAGTCTTTTCAAGCTACTACCTAAGTATTCTTTTTACAAATAAGTCTCTCCAAACTCAAGGTATTACAAGGTTGTTGTTGTCGTCTTCTTTAAATGTGATTACAACAAAAGTTTAAGTGCAAGAGATTTTTTGAAGAAGATATTCTATGTGCCTAGTTCTCTCTTGTGTTGTATGTGTTCTAAATATTATGTCTATGTCTCTTGAGTTCCAAAGCTTCTTATATAGTAACTTCAAAAGAGATGACTGTGCTAGCTTATTGAGTCTGATTCACATAACTATTTCATCTTACTCCTTCATCTGATCTAGAGAGAGAGGAAGTATCCGTTGGTGCATTAAAATGTTCCAATTAATGCCTTTCACTAAAACTCCTTTATCTTTGATAGATCAAGCTACTTATCAAAGTAAAGCAATAAAGTAGGAACAATAGGAAGTAAAGTTAGTGTGCAGAGAAGATACAATGTTTTTCCTATGCCTTTTTTGTGAGATCTGAGTACTTTGTCCTTTATTTTAATGCTCAACATGCCTTTATACACCTTTAACAGAATGTGAATTCTAATACAACGACTTTTGATCTGTTAAGATATAAAACATTTATTTGAAAATTAACGTGAGTCATAATAAATAATAAACATTAAGAACATAATAGATAGTTGTATGCTTTGTCTCGACTTACAGATGTTACTTCGTCTTACATAGTTTGAAACAACAACTTTTCAAAAATATTTTCTTGTCGAAAGACGTAATATTTGTTATCAGAAAATTATATAGATATAAATTATTGATAAACAAAGAAACAATGATTAGTTCTCTTAATTCATAACTATGATGATTATAATTTAGAAAAAAATATTTGTGATCATAACAAAAAAAAACAATTTCTACCTATATCATAATCAATTTTAGTTAACTATATATATCAATCATCTTCAGTAAAATTTAAAACAAATATGGGCTTCTATACACTAGTTTAAGACTCAAATCATTACTAAATTATTGTTTATTATTAATTGTATTAATGCCCTATCCCCATTCTCCTTTACTATCATTCAGAATAAGCATAGATTCTATATCTAGTTTATCAAGAGACAACATTGTTAATTCAAGAAATCCACCACTGTTATCATCTATCTAGTTTATCAAGAGACAACATTGTTAATTCAAGAAATCCACCACTGTTATCAAATGGATGATGTATATCTCCACCAATGTCTCTCAACCTTGTCTCTCCTTTTTATACCTTTCATCATAAACAAAATTCAAGGTTAAAATACACATAAACCAAACATTTTACCCATTTTGGATCTGTTTTTATTTTTCTTTGGAGAATAATAAAGAAATATGCATATATACCAATCCTTCTTTCAACACAAGGAAGAATATGGCTATACAATAAGTTTAAGGCGAACTTTTTGGATATATATGGAAGTATCTAAGAAGTATCCTTAAAAAAGGTTTTAAAAATTAAATAAAAAAATATTGAATTTTTTTCGATATTGTATTAGAAGTATCCAAGAAGTATCAGTGTCTAAAATAGATACAACATCGACACTTATTCATTTTTGGAGTACCTAGACTTCATAAACGCTATATAATTTGATTTCATTCACTAGTCCCATTTCTATATTTCAAATTCTCATTCACATTGATTATGGTTTCGGTTTCTTCTTTTAAATGTTTTTCCTATTTAAATAATTGGTGACAGAAAAACATATGGTTTTGATAATGTTTAATATGAATTAAACCTATGAGCCAGACACTATATTTGAGCAAATGTTAGGTGAAACAAAGCTTAGGAGATTTTTTTTCTTCTGAAATCGTATGGAGTAAAACTATCTTTGTGAATCTATACAAGGGCGAATGTTGTTTAACCAGAATTTTTCATTCTCAAAGTGTGTGAAAGTTGTTAAAGTTTATAATGTGGCTAAAGTGCATTCCTTGGTCAAAGGTACCTTAGCATCTTAGACTGGCTTATAGCTTAGATGGTTTAGTTGGGGTGCATGAAAGACCTAGTACTGGCCCATGGGCTTTGTACAGTCCAATAAAGTCATCATACATTAATGTATGTTGATTGTTGTTTGAATCACTACAAGATAATTTTATTTTGGGAACCTACTTCTAGAGTTCTATTGGTGGTTGTTATTTTGGGGTTTTTAGTATAAGTGTTGTGATTTTGTGTTGTTCTATGTCAATGTAGAGCATGTTTTGATTGTTTTCTAACCATATAAACTTTTTTTTTTTTTAAAGGATTATGA